TTTCAATTTATAGGGGGAACTCTGCTCCTAGACAAAGAAAATTCTCTATGCATAACTACTCTCATAAAAAATTAGAGGAGGAATGGCTTTTCTGGAAAAGCAAAGAATGTGAATATGAATTAACAATTATTTTAATATTTTAATAATATTCACCTCCATTCTGGGCCCGCTCGAGCAAATCATAAAATCACATCATTTAAAAATATAATTTTTTCAAAGAAAATAAAAAAGGGATTTTTCACTACAAAAAATTTGACAATATGTATTCCCATGAATATTTTGGATTAGATTCTGTCCAGAGACCCCCTGTTACTACTAAAAAACTATGTTATGCATTAAACGCAAGTTCTATTGCTCTGCTGAATAGAAGAAAATGTGAGAAAGGTCCATAAGAAACACTTCACTCCAAAACACACATGAACAGTACAAACAAACCTTGAGTTGAAATAAAACATTTGAATAACAAACTGTCACTGTCAGTGTCTTCCCATTGTTCATTGATTTGCTCGAGCAGGCCCAGAACATTGTGAGACTTGTTACTGTGTTTGGCATATCAAATACGTCACAGGTAGCTTGCCAGGCTTTGCTGGGCAGGCGAGATACGCTCGGTAGCTTGCTGGGCTCTCCAAAAGGGGCGGAGGAATCGAACTTGGGTTGGCCATGTTGGCCATGTGCAAGGCAAATGTCCTACTGGCTGTGCTATCACTCCAACCCAGTCCATTTGGATGTAGGACTGTATCAAATGTTCACTTATCGATAAAAAAGGATCCAACAAATAAAATTAAAATGGTCTTGAATCCAAGTGCCTTTATGCTAAAGAAAAACAGTAATATTTAAAGAACAATCTATAAATATATATATGTACATATTTATTAATGCCCAAGACTCAAACTCTAACAACATGTTAGTGATCTCTAATAGAGGGGCTTAATGGCTCCAAATGAAATACAACACTTTCCTCTAAAGAAAATTTTTTAATCATTTTAGTCAATTATTCATAACAAGCAATACAAAATAAATTATTTAGCAGCTGGCTTTGGGGCAGCCTGGGTGGTGGCGAGAAAAGTCGAAAAAATGGAGGTGGGAAGGTATAAATAAGGGTGGTGGGATTAGTATTGAAATACTGACTTTAATCAATTACTGTGAACAACTCTTTGAAAATAAAATTTTTAAATAAATAAATAAAGGGCATCCTAAATTTGCCTACACAAGTTTATATACAAAAAAATCAATCAAATATAAATTCTTAGTGATAAAAAAATAAACCATCACTATAAACCAACAGAATAAAATGACAGAATTAAAACATGTATAGTTATGGGCACTGGTGGAGGGATGGGTACTTGATCATTGTATAATTGAAACCCAAGCACAAAAATTTGTAAGTTTACAACTGTACCTCATAAAATAAAAATTTTAAAAAATGTATAGTTAAATTATGAACAAGTAATAAATTTTAAAAGACAACAATGAATATTTGAGGAGGGGAGCAGAGCTTCACAAATAAAAATAATTCATCTCACACCAGAGACTGACATACATCAAAAAGAACAAGATCAACCACTGCTGGACAGGATATGAAGAGAAAAGGACCCTCATTCACTGCTGGGGGAAACGCAGCCTTTCTGGAAAACATGGAAATTTCTCAAAAAAAAAAAAAAACTAGAAATTGAGCATCCATATTAACCAGCAATACCGCTTCTGAGAATATGCCCTAAGGGTCCAAAAACACAATGCAGAGAAGTTATCTGCCTCAAATACAAAAATAATTCATGACAAAGGAGCTATGTGAAATGGAGTGAAAATAGTCTCTTCAATTATCTGAGTATCTACATGTAAAAATGTGAAACCCGATCTGTATCTCATACCTTGCAGAAAAGTAAATTCGAAAAAGACATCAAGACTACACTAGACTCCATAAAATACATGGAGGAAAACAGAGGCAGAATGCTTCAGGATTTGGACCTCAAATGCAATTTCAATGACATGAACCTACTGGCAAAGACAAAAGAATTAAAAAATAAATAAATGGACGTACATCAAATAAAAAACCTTCAGCATGGCAAGTGAAACATAATAAGCCCAATAACCCCATTAAAAATGGGGAGAGGAAATAAACACGCACTACTATGAAGAAGACATATTGCCAAGAGGCATATGAAAAAAGTGTTCATCATAACTTATTATAAAGGAAATACAAATTAAGGGGGCAAAGAGTAACACTGCACATCAGTAAGAATGTTATCAAGCTTAGAAAAAAAGTCTGTGTGACAGCAATATGGCACTGCTGGTAGCAATGTGTTTTGATTCAGACCCTACTGAAAACTATATGGAAATTCCTCAAGAAAGTAAGCCTAGGGCTCCCACATGACTCAGTGATTCCACTTGGTATCTAACATAAAGACATAAAACCATTCATTCAGAAAAAGATACATGCACAACTATGTTCATTTCAGTGCATGGTATAATAGCCAAGATATGGAGGAAAACACATATCCTGTAACAGATGAGTGGATAATAAAGCTGTGGAATACATATAAAATGTGATGTTATAAACCCCAAGGAATGATGAAATTATGGAATTCACTGTAGTTTGGGTGGAACTGGAAGATGTCATGTTAAGTGAAGTCAGAAGAAGGACAAATACAGGATGTTCTGACTTAACAGTGGTACACAGAATAACAAGAGAAGAAAGTATCAAAGGCAGACAAATGTGGGACCCTCAATTACATACAAAATGCCAGGAAAAGAGAGAAATGAAAGTGTAGGGGGCCTGTAAGTAACATACAAACAAGGATGAGTGGCCACAAACTGTGGTATGGAGGTGAGGTATCTGCAAATATCTAAATCACTAACCCAAAACTAATGTAACCAAGGGACCAAAACTACAATGATTAAACTTGAAAGCATATCTGACTCATTTGTGGAATATAAAATGAGACTGACACACATGGACAGTAGACACAAGGGCCAGGATATTGTTCCACAGTTTGAAGCCTGTCATATGAGCTGTGGGAGACGGCAGTTGAAACAGAGAAGGGATCACTAGGTCAATGATGGTTGGAGGGATTATTCAGGATGGGAGATGCGTGCTGAAAGTAGATAAAGAACCAAATGTGATAGCCTCTCAGTATTACAAACCATAATGCCCAAAAGAAGAGAGAGAGTATGGGGGAAATTATATGCCATACAGTCAGGGGTAGGGTTGCAACCGTGGGGGAGTGATATTGGGGAAATTGGTGCTGGAGAATGTGCACTGGTGGAGGGATGGGTGTTTGACCACTGTATTACTGAAACACGAAACTGTTGTAACTGTATCTCACAGTCATTCAATAAAAAAAAGAAAGCATGTCTGTCAAAGAAATAGGTTGAGGGGTAGAAGGAATTGGTGAAAGGATTCAAAACTGATGGTGGGTATTGAGTTGAAACACTGTATGCCTGAAATTCTACTGTCAATAAATAACTTTACAAATAAATGAAATTAACTAAAAGTACATAATGAATGCTCAAAGATAATGAATATATATCACTCAAAAGACTAAAGACAGTAGTTAGAATTTCATATATTATATGCTTATATTAGAAAAATAAAAGAACTGACTGGTTTTCAGCCCAATAATTGGCTAGGTCAGGGGAATGAGAAATTTGCTAAATAAAACCCAGAGAAATAAAAAATAATTTGATGATAAATAACAGAAGTTAATGAACAAGGACACAAAGCTGTAATAGAGAGTATGCATGTTCTGTTCCCAAAAGATGATTATCTAAGAAGATAACTGAAAAACTGTAAAACTTACAATAAGTTTCACAAGTCTAGTAAGTGGAGATACCTTTTTTTAATTGAATCATCGTGAGATATAGTTACAAAACTTTCATGTTTGAGTTTCACTCATACAATGATCAAACATCCATCCCTCCCTCCACCAGTGCACATTCTCCACCACCAATGTCCCCAGTATACCACCCCTTTCAAGCCCTTCCCCTGCCTCTATGGCAGACAATTTCCCCCATACTCTCTCTCTACTTTTGGGATCCCTGGTTTTTAATTCAGGGTATGTTTTTCTATAACCAAAGTTCTAAACTACTATGCTCTACCATTAACCAGTGGTATAAAAATTATTGTCATATTTCACTACTTCATTATTAATAACTTTAATAAATCAGGAATAAATGCAGTATGTATGTGACTCATATAATTAAAAATATTAATGTTCAGTCTGTATAAAAACTAAAATGCAGTATGTAACTCATAAAACTGAAAATGTTAGTGTTAAGAATGCATAAAAACTTATGTAAATCAATAACAAGACTAGCACAATATATGAACGGGCCGAAGGCATGAGCAGGCATTTCCCAAATAAGAAAACATGAAGAACCAATAACCATATGTGAAGAAATGGAACTTGATAATAACTTTGAAAATTCAAAGTAAAAATATGATATTGAACTAGATTGACAAAAATTTAAAATAAAGAAAAATTAAGAGTTGACAAAGATGTAGAACTACAGAAATACTGAAAATCAGCAGAATATAAATTATTACATCTCAGCACAAACAACTCGAGACTCTCCTGTAAGAACATCCATAAGTGGTATGACTCAGAAATTCTACTATGACACCTGATACAGTGATGTTAATAACAGCAAAAACTGCAAACATCCTCTCTTCATCAGCAGAAAAATGAACAAATTATTGTGGCCTGCTCACAATGCAATAAAACATAACAATGAAAAAACTAAGTATAATTGTATGAATCAGAATGATACTTGAAATAAGTATGAATAAAAAGTACATACAATGAATATAAATTTTATAAAAGTCAAAATAGATCAACTTAAATATATCATTTAGGTAGGTTAGCAAGACAAATATATCATTAAAATGTATATTTGCGATTACTAAATATTGACAAATCACTTTTTTTTCTTTCATCTGCTATTCAAATATTTATCTGTTATTCAACCTTACGAAGACACAAGAGATCCACTGCCAGTCTTACCTGCAGAAACACTGAGGAAGTTCTCCTTGGCCATATAAAGGAAACAAGAATGGAGTGTTGCCATAACGTCCAAGACAGTGAAGGAAGTTTTTGGTAGCTTTGAGACCATCTATGGTACTGCTGCCTATTTCTGATGCCATTGCAATGGAATGCAGGACAAAATATTGGAGATTGGGGGTTAAGTTTTGAGTTTTTAAATATTCAGAAAATGTCATCTTCTCATAGGCTATGAAAAGAAACGAAAATATATTAATTAAAATGAGAATCAAGATTCAATTTATTTCTATTTTAGTAAAACAAAATAGTTTTCTTTAAACTATTCTAATTAGAGAAAGGTGAAGAGAGACACAGAGAGACAGAGAGACAGAGAGAGAGAGAGACGGAGAGAGAAACAGAGAAAGCGAAAGAATGTGTTGAAGACAAAACATGGGCTTTTCCAAAGCAGAAAAGTAAAAGCACTGCAATAAATAAATAACCTTTCATGTGAATTAAGCGATTTGCCAATATTTTTCTTTTAATTGATAGTAAAGAACTATCGTGGACATCGATCTGTCGTCTCTGAGTAATAATGATATATCAGGATTTGTTCATTTAACAGGCAGCAGAGAGGCAGAAGGATGCATAGAGGAAGGGATGCATGAGGATAAATTCCTATTTACATGCGATGATACTCGTTACTGTGTGACCATCTCTTTGAGTATGTCACTAATAAAAATATTAAAATTGAAAAAAAAAGAACTCTGAGGGGGAAAAAGGAATTATTGTTGCTTAGGAAAGTTGGATTTTATGTTTTTATTTCCAAATTTAGTTGATTTATTCATTTCTTTTTTTTGTCAAAATACTTGTAGAGTTTTAGGTCTTTGAAATGGAAAATATTCATGGTCTGTAAAAAAGCATGATACACAACCATATGATCTTATTGATGATCTCATTGACATCACTTGACTTGACTTCCCGATAATCATCAATTTGTTTGAGCAGGTGCCAGTAACGTCTCCATTTGTCCCTATCATGTGCTAGAGTAGCCCAATGGCATCTGTTTGTTCTAGGAACACGAACAGCTTCAAACCAATCATTCAGGGTCTTGACGAAGAAGTCTGACCATCTGGTAGGTGGGCCGCCACACGGTCTTTTGACGTTCTGTGGAATCCAGTCAGTAACGGCTCTAGTCCAGTGGTCGTCTCCAAATCTCATTAAGTGTCCAGCTCATCTGATTTTCGATGCCTTGGCAAACGAGAGAGCATCCTTAATTCTTGACCGTCGATGGAGCTCGGAACTCTGGATTCTTTCTCTCATTTGAGTGAAACGTGATACTCCAAGCATAGGTCTTTCGATTCCTCTTTGAGAGACCCAAATAACATTCTCATCCTGTTTTCGTAGGGCCCAGGTCTCTGAAGCATATGTTAATGCAGGAAGAACAGTGGAATCGAAGAGATGTGCCCAGAGCCAGAGGTTCCTGGTCCTCTTAGCTATTTCTTTGACGCTCTTGAGGCATTCCAAGCCGCTCTCTTCCTCCTGCACAACTGAGGTGCCAGGTCATTCGTCATGTTGACTTCTCGACCTAAGTACACATAACTGCAGCATTCGGAGATGTTTGTCCCACTGAGAGTGAATGGAACGTCAGGAACGAGACTGTTTCTCATAAACATCGTCTTTGTGAGATTCCGCTGTAGTCCTACCTTTCCACACTCACAGTCGAAGTCGGCCAGCATTTGTGCCACTTGGCTAATGTTTGGTGTTATTAGAACGATGTCCTCAGCAAAGCGGAGATGGTGTAGTTGCCGGCCATCTATCCTCACTCCCATTCCTTCCCATTCCAGTCATCGCATGACGTTCTTGAGGGTGGCACTGAAGAGTTTCGGTGAAATGGTATCACCCTGCCGAACCCTTCTCTTGACATGGATGATCACTTCATAATAGATGCTTATTGACATAATAAATGCTTAGTTGTGTAAGTACATAAAAAGGGACTATTAGAACACGTCAGACATAATAGCTTATGACTATTTTCTGATTTTTGTTTTCAGTCTCCTATTATATACTTTAAAAAAATGATGTTTTGAAAAATGCAAAAATAATTTAAAAGTCGATAAAGGACATTGGGAAGATTGATTTGAGGATAGGAGAAAGTAGAAATAACCTTACTATCCAAACTAAAGACAAAAATTTTGAGCTTAAATGATGATTAAAAAAAAAATAAACCAAACTAGAAAGGCATTAAATAATTCATTAGCCATTACAACAACTATCTATTAGTGAAAATACCTCATTCCATTATCCATAGAAGTGAAGAATAGTGCTGATAATTATATTAGAAATGTTAAACATAAACAGGGCATTAGTGAGAATAGAGTAATACCTGAATTTTAAAAAATGTAAATGCTTATCCCGCCTACTCCAGATGGAACCCCGGTGACCATGAGCCTGCAAGCGGATCCAGGACATTTTATCCAAACTGCAATGGGGCCGCCCCGGCTCCCAGACAACCTCTGATTCCAGAAGTCATGCCCACAACCCGCCGCCCAGCGCCATTTTACAGCACACAGCAACAAAGAAGAAAACCAGCTGGAAAGCCCCACAGCTCCCGGAGAATGCTCCAGGTCCCAAACAGAGCCGATATCACCAGGAGGTCCCAGATGGGGTAGGTGCTGCATCGCGCCTTCTTCAGATGGAACCCCGGCGACCATGAGCCTGCAAGTGGGTACCAGGACATTTCTTCCAAACTGCGCAGACACATAAGTGGCCGCACAACATCTCCTTATATACAAAGTGATCAATGGAAAGTAAATTATTCAACATTTCTCCCTGAAAATCAGACTTAACTCTTTTGCAAACCACAATACCCAAAAGGAGAGAGAGAACAGAGGGGGGTGGGATGGGGGAAGCAGGGTGGGATGGGGGAGGATGGGGGGTGGGAAGGATACTGGGATCCGTGGTGGTGGGAAATGGGCACTGGTGGAGGGATGGGTATTCAAAATAAATAAATAAATAAATAAATAATGTAAACGCTTTTTAGAACCATGACTCAAACAGAAGAATTTGTGTGTGTATGGCAAATGGAATAAAGCTTAATTATCTTATAATCAAGCTCAGAAGGAATAAAGCAGATCACACAATGAAATGGATTAAAGCCAAGAGTAAAATCCATGGTTTCTTCTAATCCAGTTACTTTTCCCCCCATACCATCTAATCTCTTTTGGCTGGAGCAATAGCACAGCAGGTAGGGCATTTGCTTTGTACGCAGCCAACATGGCCGACCCGAGTTCGATTCCTCTGCCCCTCGTGTAGAGCCCGGCAAGCTACTGAGAGTATCTTGCTCGCATGGCAACGCCTGGCAAGCTACCCGTGATGTATTCGATGTGCCAAGCACAGTAACAACAAAGTCTTACAATGGAGACGTTACTGGGCCCACTCGAGCAAATCGATGAACAACGGGAGGACAGTGGACAGTGGACCATCTAACCTCTTTAAAAATATTTTATTCAACTAAAGGACCATGATTTCCAAAGTTATTAACAGCTGAGTTTTAGGCATACAATATTTTGACAACAACCCCACCATCACTGTAAAGTTTCCTCCACTAGTATTTCCATACTCCCTCCTGCTTCCCCAACTTCACCTGCCACCTAACAGCAATATTTCATTAAAATGAATAAGAACACCCAGCTAAGCATTTTTACAATGAATAAAATTGTTCTACAGCTGTAGAATAAAGATATTCAGCATGTGATATGCTACTCCAGCAAATGAGGAAGTGAATTTTAATTGTTAGTTAATCTAAACAGCTACATGTTATTAATACTTTACTAGACAGTACAAAGTAAGAACGTAATTTAAAAGAGCAATCAATGACAGGAGGTAACAGGGGCACAAGTCAGTGGTTTCAGACACACTGGTGCTGTAGAGCTGTGGTATGTCTATATAACTGAAGCACAGAACCAACAAAACTGAAAGCATGGCATACAAACTACCACAAGCAATCATAAAAATGTGTCTGTCAAGTAGGCAGACTAGTGGGGTGGTAGGAAACCTGGCAACACTGGTAGAGGGAAACTGATACTGGTGCTGGTAATATTGTAGAAACACTGCATGGCTAAAACTCAACAACGAATCATGGTACCTCATTAAATTTCTATTTAAACAAAAATAAATAAATAAAAAGGGAATCAGTAGATGACTACAGAAGAGCAAGTAAGACACACACACGAATCTTGAACCCGAGCAACTTGCTGCAGAGATGGCTCTGGACTTTGCAATACAGACCACTTTCGCTGGGCCACTCCAGACGGGAACAGAGCTGTCCCTCAACCTGCCCCCTAGGAATATGGGAGGCCACCATCTTCTACAACTCAGTGAAACCTGTAGGTATGGGGTGGCGGTGGCAGCAAATACCAGGCCTCAAGGGACAGGGGAGGAGTTGGCCCTTCTCCTTCCCCCTGCCATGATGGGTCTCTGAGATGACGCCCACATACAGCCACCATCTACATAAGCTCCCAAACAGCCATGATCCAAAGACACACACATGAATCTCAGAACTGAGCAATTTGCTGGAGAAATCTCTCCAGAGCCTAATTATTAAAATTTTATAATTCCTCGAGCATGCGGCCAAAAGAGTGGCCACGTGACTTTATATTTTATCCATAACAAGCAATGCAAAACAAATTGTCCAACAATGCTTTTTCAACAAATATGAGTGGTGGTGGGACTGGTGTCAAAATAACAACTGTGGGGGCTAGAGCAATAGTATAGCAGGTAGGGAGATTGCCTTCACGCAGATGACCCGGGATTGATTCCCAGCATCCCATATGGTACACTGAGCACTGCTAGAAGTGATTCCTGAGTGCATGAGCCAAGAGTGACCCCTGTGCATCGCCGGGTGTGACCCAAAAAGCAAAAACAAAAAAAAAATAAAAGAAAAAAATAATGAAAGTAACAAATGTGGGGAGAGAGAATTGGGCAAATTATCTGCCATATAGGCAGGGGAAGGTGTGGAATTGGGGGAGAGGAGATACTGGAGATTTTGGTAGTGGAAAACATGCACTGGTGAAGGGATGAGTGTTTGATAACTGTATGATCAGAGCTCAAACATGAAAACTTTGTTACTGTACCTCATGGTAAATCAATAAAAAGGGGAAAAAACCAAACCCCAACCAAAAAGCAAACCCAGAACATAAGAACACACGGGCTATTCCAGAATATAATTGAGGGTTTCTCCTGATGGTGCTC